TTTATTTTCTGTTATATACTTTAAAAATGATATCTATAAATTTTATAACTTTCAGGTTCCCGAAAGAGTGCGGGCCATGAACGCCAGCATCAAGCTGCTGCTGATTGTGCGGGAGCCAGTTACTCGTGCGATTTCGGACTACACGCAGCTGCGTAGCCATGCGGCCACCGCCATCCTCCCGCTGGCCGAAAAGGACCCTCCGGGTCCTGCGAGGGAAAGCTCTGGCGGGGGTGCAGGAGGCACTGCAGCCGGAGTTGGAACCGCAGCTGCCAAGATGTCGGCGCAATCGGTGCTGTATGCCAAACTGCAGTCGGCCCGTGGCTATGACAATGCCCTGGTGGGTGGCAGTGGGGCCGGAGCCAAGGAAACCAAGGGGAGAACAGGACCTTCTTCGGCCAGGAGGCAGGCGGCGGGAGTGGGCGGGGCTGCGATGACCACCACAACACTGTCGCCAATGGCAAGCGCCGCCCAAATGGCAGCCAAGTAAGTGAAGTGAACTGAGGCGTTTTCCGTGCCACCGCCCTGCAACCTCCTTCTTTTTGCTCCTGCTTGACATGCAAATGAAATGCAAACTGCAAATGAAAGTTGCCCAAAATGCGACTCTTGTCCTTGGCTCCTCCGTCTCCCCCTCTCTGTCCCCCTGATGGGGAAACTTTCTTGTTGCGACCTCACTTGTTGACAGAGGGAGTGACGCGGGGCAGCCAAGGACTCTGTTTAACATGGTCGAGAAGTGGGAAAGGAAAGGGAGGGGCAGGGAGGGAGCTGCTCATTTGCAGCTGTTGGCAATTCAATTTGCCGTCCTTGTCGAAAGGAAGATTTAAGGCCCCGAACTCATCTCGCTCACCCGTTCGCAGGTCCTTTGAGGAGCTGGCCATATTTCCCAATGGCACCGTTAACGAGGCTTATCGACCGCTCAGCATCTCCATGTACCATGTCCACCTCCACCGCTGGCTGGAGGTCTTTCCGCGGGAGCAGCTCCTGGTGGTCAATGGGGATCGCCTCATCGAGGATCCGGTTTCTCAGCTGAAACGCATCGAGGCTTTTCTGGGTGAGTAACTTTCGCATGTAAACCATGGTATTAATATTTTAGGAGATTTAAAGGGCGGCTTGTGATTTATAATACGCTTTACAATTTAAGTTTATATTTTATCTTTTATAAGTAACTACCTAGATATTTTAGTTAACTATACTTACCTATCAAAACAGGAAAAGTTTAAATCCCTTTTTTCGCCTTCATGTTAAACTAAAAGTAGGTTTTAAATTGAAAATATCTAATTATTAAATGAGGTCTTCAAGATTCTTTTAGTTTAACATTAAGACGAGAAAACAACCAAAAGGCTCGGCCCAATGTTAAGCTAAAGGTAGGTTTGAAGCATATAAGCCGACTGGAAATGTAGAGTCTAAAACCTACTTTTAGTTAAACACTAGGACGAGAAGACCTTAATTTTATGTGTTTGGTTGTGTCTTAAAAATAATTATAAAATATTTTTAGTGGTTTCCGTTTTATTTATAACAATTATTTCCTGAAATGCCAGCCATATACCTATAAATGGCATATTAAAATTAAAAACCATCGTATCAAGCCCACTAATTAATGTTAAATCGTCTGTATTTCGTATCGTGTGGCTTTGCTTTATCCGAAAAAGAATGATAAAATGATTAATTTTTAATTTCAGGCATCGAGCACCGGGTGAACAGCGAGCACTTCTACTTCAACGAGACGAAGGGGTTCTACTGCCTGCGCTACGACAACGGGGACCGCTGCCTCCGGGAGACGAAGGGCAGGAAGCACCCGCACGTGGATCCCGTGGTGGTCTCCAGGCTGCGGAGGTTCTTCGCCGAGTACAATCAGCGATTCTACGAGCTGGTGGGCGAGGATCTCGGCTGGCCGGAGGAATAAGCTGGGCCTGGGAAATTGGACGGCAAGTGGAGGGTTCCTCGGACTGGGCTGGATGCCAATAAATCTGCCGTTGGTCAATCGTTTGGGCCGCTGTGCAGCCAATTTAATTACAAGGAAGAGCAGCCCGTGTAAAAAATGGGGGCAAATAGCGGGGCAAAGTTATCCCGGACTTTCAGTTGCCATTTTCCGTTGCATATTTTCACGATGGGCGGTTCGCAGTATTTCTGCCTGGCCGAGTCGAGCAGCTCTGACAGTTCAATTATGTGCGCGTATTGAAAAATTGCATTCCTATTTTCCCAGACCAGCCCAGCCCAGCCCAGTAAACCACCCACTCACCACCACCAGCAGCACATGCAAATTTGCCTTTACACCAGCAAAGAACAAGCGAAAGAACAAGGAGTCACATAAAAAAATATAGTAAAATAAGCTGCACGCATTTTGGTGTGCAGCAGGCCATGAAAATGTGTGTGCGGCATATACATCCTATATGCATCGCATATATATCGCATATATGTAGCGAAATGAAAAGCAATATCTACATGATGTTCGAAGGTTACACGTTTTCTACGTCTGTTTGTGTTCTACACGTCTGTTCTCTCTCTCCGCGTGTGTGTGTGTGGGTGAATTCGAGTGTCTGAGAGCATAAAAATTAATTAAGCAACTAAATGTGATTTTATAGCATGTAAGCATAGGACAAATTGAAAATGATTGCGATGGGTGGTTGTGGGTATTCGGGGATTGGGTATTGGGTATTACGGAGAGAGAGAATGATAACATAGTGAGGGAGTGAAGTGGCAATTAAAAATGTATTTAGACTAACAGTCGGCTGAATTAAATGTGTGCGTACAGAAACATGAACAAAACTAAACATATCACATTTAGCATAATATATAGCATAGCCTAGTGTATACACAACATATCAGGGGTACTCGAGGTCCTCAAGCAACTTGGGTACTGAATATGATTGAACTAATGCAATTCGTACGTTATGTTACATATCGAAAGCTAAACCAACCATGAAATCGAAACATATCAGCCGCCATCGTCGGCAAATATACAAGAACAAATATATATACAACATACATATCTATATATTATATACAAACGTATCGTAGACCGTAAGTCGAGCATCAAATTTGTTGTAAATGACTTTGATTTTGACCTAGTTTGTAGTGCGCGATGTGTCACGGAATCGTCATAGACAAACTTCTAGTTGAATATAGCCGTATCCTAGGTTAATAACGCACTGCCCAAACCAAAAGAATAGCTATGTCTGTTTAGAAAATTATACTGCACCCACTAAGTGATAAGTTTATCAAAGATAGTTTTTTAATGCATTTTTAAGACATATTATTTTATATTCCCAAGGAGAGAAACCCATATCAATTACGGCAACTCTACCAATAGATACACATAATATATATACACTTATCAGCTGTTTGGCTAAAGTTTAAACATTTCGTATGCATATCAAACTCAATGTGAAAAACTCAACCTAGGCTAATACTTTCCGAGACGATCCATCCAATTTCGGTTGACACCAACAAATACACGCGTATGCATAGAGATATATGTATACCTCCCCCTTTGGTTCGAGTACCAGTTCTTAGGGATCTTCAGCACAGAACTCGACTAGCGCCCAATCAATACTAAACAGAAAGTAGACTATGGAATGTATAAACCTTGTTTTTACAGTGTATCTCCTTATATACATCCTATGCTGATCTCTCAACGACAAAGGAACCACAAAAGGAATGAAACTAACCAAGCAATATAAATTCAAAGCAAGACTGAAGGTCCTCCGCAGAATATTTTATTCATTTTTTTGTCAATCGCTGGTTATTTTAATTCTGTAAACCAACCAAAACAGATATAGTAGCAAAGACAACGAACATTACTAATTTGTTTATATTTTTATACAGAAGTAAAAGTACATTAGCCGAAATCCAGGGAGGAAAACCGAAATGGAACCCATTTCCGTTTTAAAATATATTAAAGTAATGCAAAATTATATATTAAAATACTCAAAGAGCAATTTGTAGTCACATTTTGTCCTCTTACTTGAACTACGCCAATTGCATACAAAATACATATCAAAAGTTTAACTCAAATCTAGATCCTCCATTGATATTGATATATTGATATTATTGATGTATTGTCTACTTAAATTGAACGTGCAAAACTCAACAACTATAATGTACCTTAAAAATCAACTCTCTATTTCTTTAACTTTAACTTAAACTCTAATGATAACTCAACTCTTGCAACTTATTCAAACTTTCAATGTACATACCTACAAAAAGTATTCCAAAAATTAAAAAAAAAAAGAAATCAACTAATAACGAAGGAAATCGTATAGAAATTCAACAAATTGTAAGAAAACCAACAAGAATCAACATTTTATGCTATGGAAAATTTTACGCATGCAATAAATAAATGTAATTCGAAAAACGGAAAACATGTTGGGGGTTTTTTTGTATCTTTGATATCTTTTCTCCTCACAGATGTTTTTTACAATCTTCATACATGAGCTTTGGTTTCTGAGCTTTAACAGGTCTTGACACAAACCTATGTAAAATAATAGTAAAATACATCACTGTATTTAAGGGAGGATTTAAAATAGTTCGGATTCGATATTCGGAAAATCCTTTAGAACTACGAAAATGTTTAAGATACTAAAGAAAAATATTTTAATGTCTATATAAAACCGTAGTATTTTTGGTCTGAAGCTTCGGGTTAAGCATTCATTCAAATTTTTGAAAAAAAATCCAACTCCCTTTTTGGTTAGGTATAAAATTAAGTTTTTCAAAAATTCTATAAATGTCTAAACTATTAATTTTTAATTTAACATATTTTTTAAGATTTTTGAGATATACTTACCCATACAGCGCACAAAAAGCTATAATTTTCTGCCTTCTAATTTCAAGAGTAAAAGCTTGGCTAGCTCTATACTTTTCTCTCACTTTAGTTTCAGTTGGCAAGTTCTCGCCACCGGTTGCTGTCGAGCCCCGGACATTTTTTATTTGTTTATAATTATACACGCTTTTATAGTATATAAGTATTATATACCAATTAAAACCAGTTAAACAGACTTTTAAAAATGTGGAAATTTTATAATGTAATTATAAAGCGACATCGTGCAGGCAGTCAGCTGAGTTTTGTTAGGAATTTATCAGTGGGTGGTGTACTCAGTCAGCAGGTAAACTATTTGCAAAAAGAGCAAGAGCTTGAGAAGAGCGAAACATTGTTTACAAACAATTACTAGTTATTCGTTTTCGCAGGCCCAGTTGGAATGGTTGGACACCTCGCCGCCTCGAAACGATGAGAAATGGCAACAGGCCAGGCCCTATGGAGAAATGCCTGGTCCCAGCACTATGCGAATGCTATCTTATTTTATGCCAGGAGGTATTCGTTGATCCAAACTATTGTATCGGTTTTCTAAAAACTTTGTAGCGGTTTTGGATTTGTAGGAGCTCTTCACAACACAAATCTGATTCAGATGAACCGCCGCATGAGGGAAATGTATGGGGATATTTACCGCATGCCTGGAATGATGGGAAAACCGAACGTGGTGTTTACGTACAACCCAGAGGACTTTGAGGTGACCTACCGCAACGAGGGCGTTTGGCCCATTCGAATAGGTCTGGAGAGCTTTAGTTACTATCGCAAGGTCCACAGACCCGATATTTTTAAGGGCGTTGCTGGCCTGGTATCTGAGTAAGCAAATATAATTTCTTAAATATCATATCTGCTATAAAAAATTATTTTAGTCAAGGACAGGCCTGGGCTGATGTTCGCAACAAGGTGAATCCGGTTCTTATGAAAGTGCAAAATGTCCGGCAGAATCTACCGCAACTAGACCAGATCTCTAAGGAGTTTATAGACAAGTGGGTGCTACACTCTACATATATAATAACTATTTAAGCTATGTTTATCTCCTTAGATTGGAAACTCAGAGGAATCCCGAAACACACACCCTAAATGCAGACTTTCATAATGAGCTTAAAATGTGGGCCTTCGAGTCCATTAGCTTCGTGGCACTAAATACCCGCATGGGATTACTAAGTGATCAGCCAGATCCCAACGCCGCTCTTCTGGCTAAGCACATGGGTGACTTCTTTAACTATAGCTTCAAGTACGATGTGCAGCCCTCAATATGGCCATATTATAAAACACCTGGCTTTAAGAAATTCCTGAAAACATACGAGGATATCACCGGGATAACATCAAACTACATAGAGATAGCAACGAAAAGCTTTGGGAAGAATGATAATCGTAAGACCAAGTGTGTTTTGGAGCAACTGCTGCAACTTAACAAGCAAGTGGCTGTGGCTATGGTAATGGACATGCTAATGGCTGGAATCGATACGGTAGTTAGATGATTATATGGAATTAGATGTTTTTTAAATAATCTTTTTTATAGACGTCTTCAGCTTGTCTTACGATCCTCTATCACCTTTCTCGCAATCCCTCAAAGCAAGATAAGTTGCGTAGAGAAATACTTCGTTTGCTGCCCACCACTAAGGATTCCCTGACTGATGACAATACCAAAAACATGCCCTATACGCGAGCTTGCATTAAGGAGGGCCTGCGGATAACCTCAATTACACCCGGAAACTTCCGCATTGCGACGAAGGATCTTGTGCTCTCGGGTTATCAAGTGGCCCGCGGCACTGGAGTCTTCATGGGAGTGCTGGAACTGTCGAATAGCGAAAAGTACTTTCCCCAGAGTGCTGACTTTGTACCCGAACGCTGGTTGAAGTCCGACCTAGCTGCTGATGTACAGGCGTGTCCAGAGGCTCGATCCCGCATTCCCTTCGTATACCTGCCTTTCGGTTTCGGACCCCGCACCTGTATTGGCAAGAGGATTGCCGAATTGGAGATTGAAACGCTTCTGGTGCGACTTCTTCGGAACTACAAGGTCAGCTGGCTGCCCGAAACTCCGCTGCAATACGAAAGCACCATTATCCTGTCGCCTTGCGGGGACATTCGCTTCAAACTGGAGCCAGTCGGTGATTCAATGTGATATGTATGCTAAGCTCAAGTACAGACTTCCGATTAAGTTCAGAGATTTACTCGCAGTATTCACTAACAATATGGGAATGTAAAAAAATAGAAAAAAGGTAACTGGCTAGGAGGAAAATCGAGCGATATGACAAGGATGTGGATCCAAGGTCTAGCGCCGATTGCGTCCACGGTAGCGTTGGTGGGAATGATTGCGCTGACGCTGCTGTTGATTTTGCTGATGGTTTTGGGGATGGACTTCTTTCGGAGGTTGGGGTTTCTCGGTTGCAGGTGTTTGGGGTGTTGAGTTATTCGTCTCTTCAGGTGGCTGATCTGTCGTCTCCGAAGTGGGCGTGGAGTGGGCTGAGGATCACAGTGATATTAGACAGTTTAAATATGTAAAATACAATTTAATTACTTGCCCAGGACGGATTGGATACTGGCCCTCTTGAGGAGAGCCTGGGTTCCTAGGCTAGTATTGAAGCAAGTGGGTGAACCTGATAGGGAAAAAATAATACACCAATTTAAGACAAGCTGAGAAACTATATATCATTAAAGAAAGATTAAAGTGTAGATACAAGCAACATTCTATGAGGAGTAAGAGTGAAAAACCCACCGATAGGGCTATAGAATATATCTTCGGAGGAGGTGGCGGGAGTTAGGGTGTTGACTGTGGGGTAGTTGGATAGTTCTGAGGCGGTTAGTGTGGCGGCAACCTCGAGGATCTGTTCAGTTTGGGTATCAGGCTGGGTCTCATTGGCCTGGCTATCCCCCTGGTAGACAGTGCTTCCGGTCTGACTACTGCCACTGGTGCTGCAGCTATCGTCCGCATCTTCGTCTGATTCATCGTTTTCGGGTTGGGATTGGGATGGAGGTTCGGATGGGGTTTCAGATTCAGGTTCTTTATCGGCTGTTGTGTTTGAACACATGCACGGAGTAACAGAAACAGAGACAGAATACTAACGTTAAAATGTTAATTGGGACCGCATGGAGCGATTCTCGCGTGAGTTACCTGCAGCGGCGGTGTTATTGTAGAGTCGGGTGTTCATCACGGCAGCACTCATGTGTCCCGGCGAAGACTTCCACTCCTCATCCGGCTTCGCAGGAGCTGGCACTATCAATCGGGTGGGAACGGGGGAGAAACAGAGAAAGATTCGAGGTCAGGGCATCGGGAAGGAAATGAAACGAGGGGCCAAACTCACTAGAGGCTTGGATGGTAAGTTTCGAATTTGTTCGGGCCCGCAAATGGATGGATGATCTACGGAAATGACTGAATCGAGTTCTCGAGGAGGAGTGTTTGTATCGGTATTGTATTGTATTTCATGACAACGTTTTAAGTTCAGTTTTCATCTACGCTTAAATCGATAATCGATACTTGGAGTTAACCTAGACTTAGGGGGCTACGCACGAGAGTCTTAATAATGTTCAAGTTCAATGTCCATTACCAACTTCCGCCTGCTCCTTGTCGTTGTTGCCATTGCTGGTTGTCGTTACGTTCAGTTTTCCCTTATCGTTTTCCTTCTCCTCGGCCTTGTGAACTCCGTTTTCCACCACTGCAGCAGCGGGTTTCTTCTTGGCCTAGGTATAAGAATCTTGGTTAATGGGAGAGCGGGTTACGAGACTTGGATATATCCCACCTGGTCGATAAGCTCCTCCACCTCGGCGCCACTAATCTCATCGCCGGTGCCGGATTCGGAGTCGCTATCCCCGCTGCTGCTGCTGCTGCTGCTCTCATCTTCCTCCTCTTCATTGGGCACAAAGTCGGAGTCATCCTCGGAGTTTTCGTTGGCGTACTTGGCCAGCATCTGATCGATGGTTAGGTTGTGATCGGCATCGGCATTGGAGTCCTCCTCCCGCGGGCGCTTTACAACCACCGAGTTGTTAAGTCCCTGTAGAAATATGTCGTTGATTAGAATGTCTAGAGCCCCTTTAGTTTGGAACCCCGTTAAACTCACTTGCTCTGAATGGCGCACAAACACTCGTCGAGTGCTGGTGTCCTGCTGAACTCCTGGTCGGCACATGGCCCGGGAAAACCACTGGGTGAGTTTCTGGGTCAGACCCTTGCCGCTGCCGTAGGACACCTCCTGCTGGCGGTTCCTCATGGCCCTGAGGCCATGAACTCGAATGGCCCGCAGCTTCCGACGTCGGGTCTGGATGAAGTAGACCATGTCCGAGGGGGATACGGGACCATTGCCGATCATCAAAGCACCCACCGATAGCCAAATGCGAGTGAGTCGCAGCAGGATGATGAGCATCAGAAAAGGAACCCAAGGCAATGGGCGTTCCAAGGGAGCATCAGATTTCTCTGTATTTGAGAGGCGGGTGGTCTTTGAATATATCATTGGCTTAAGAGGAAAGGGACTTGTGCTCACCTTGCGGCAGACTCCACTTGGCCGTATCCTCGATCATCACCAGGGCTCGATCCGCCCTTTCGATCACGAATTGGCCAAATCGCGTACTGGAAAAGCGCTCTGCCTGCTCGCGAACTAAATCATAGAAGTTGCGCGACTTCATCAGTTCGCTGACTTCATCCTCGTCGATATGGTCTCGCTGATTTTGATCTTTGGCTGCCGCCACCGTCTTCGTCTCCTGTGCCATATTGCTGATTAAAAAACAAGATTTCATTGGTCTTAAGTTTGATATAGAACTTAAAAGTCGAGGGTTTCTGTGAATCCGCGAAAGCCCAGCTAGTACTGACTCAAAGTCTAGACTGCAGTATATTTTATTCTTCCAACTTTCTAACTTTTTATACCCGTTACTCGTAGAGTAAAAGGGTTTACTAGATTCGTCGGAAAGTATGTAACAGGCAGAAGGAAGCGTTTCCGACCCCATAAAGTTTATATATTCTTGATCAGGATCACTAGCCGAGTCGATCTAGCCATGTCCGTCTGTCCGGATGAACGCTGAGATCTCAGAAACTATAAGAGCTAGGCTATTGAGATTTGGCATGCAGATTTCTGAGCTTCTTACGCAGCGCAAGTTTGTTTCTTCAGAGTGCCACGCCCACTCTAACGCCCACAAGCCGCCCAAAACTGTGGCTCCTACAATTTTGATGCTAGAATTAACATATTAACTGAAATGTATTGTTCTCATCAAACCTATCGATTGACCCAAAAAAAGTTTGCCACGCCCACTTCAACGCCCACGAACCGCCCAAACCTGTGCTAGATAAAAAACTTTAACTTAAATGTATAGGTCTCGTCAATACCTATCGACCTATCCACGCCCACTCTAACGCCCATATCGCTTAAATCTGTCTACCGCCGGTAGGTGGCGCATTTTAACCTCGCTTTGCTGCTTGCCTATCTCCATTTCCGTTTGAGATCTTCAGCTGAGTAACGGGTATCTGATAGTCGGGGTACTCGACTATAGCGTTCTTCCTCGTTTTAATATCTTTTTAGGAAAAAAGGGAAACAGGTTAGAACATTATTACCGTGAAACAAACTTTTTCTTAAGGGAAATCTCGTTTCTTATCTTGCAATTTAATTCGAAATATATTCCGCCTAATGGCGATTTAATTCCCGGCAATTACTAAAGCCGCCATTAAGGTATCCGTACAATTCGGGATTGCCGCGTGATTAGCGACTGAACAAGCGGAGAATACGGTAATACCGTATTAATAAACCTGACGATGCGAGGTCGTCTGCCAGAGGAACCGAAAGTGGATCGCTTATCGGTGCGGATCGGAACTTCGCACTTGTTTGAGTTTGAGATTGAGGATCGCTTTTGTTTTTTGTTGCTGCCGTCTGGCAAAACTTATAGCCGCTATATAGTACCTACTGTCTTCCGCCGACAATGACTAACGGCAAATAATTAAGCAGACCTAGGCAGAAGCAGCAACAAAAATCAAAACAAATTAAGTATATTAAAATTAGATCATCTGAACTTTGTACGATTCCGCTTGGAGGAATAGTTCCAATTCCATGCGTTGATTACGGAAGATCTCCGTCGCGGAACTTTCGCAATCGCTGTGTGGGTGAGGTTATTAGTTAGGTTATTAGTGATTTGAGAACAGCGCCTATCACAAAGTCAATGAAATGCTAGGTTAGTTCCTCTTTCGGTCACACTTGTTCGCTTGAATTACTTTTTAAATGCTCCCCATTTTGTTGATAGCTTCCATTCTTATTCTGGCGGTGATGATAGAAATCTGGCGTATAATATAAAATTACACAAGCACAACATTCATTTATTTTATATTTATAGCGCTTATTGCATCGTCCAGAAAGTACGCGAATCCTCAATAAAATTATCACAAAAATTTGTTTTCGGGATCAAAGTGTATCGGCCCTCCATAAAATGCAAAATTAAAAACATTAAAATCACGCACACTCATGGCGCAGTGGTCTGAATTGGAGCAAGTCCCTGTTGGCCAGTGTAACGAGATGGAAATGCAGAAGTTCTCGACGAGTGGAGAAGGAGGTGGTGATGAGGAAGGGGAGAGCGAAAGTATAAAGTGCAAGGCACTGGAAGTCTAGCTGATAACGGTAGTTTCGCTTTCCTGCAATAATGGCGCTCGAGAATCAGCGGACAAGGCGCAGAGGCCGACTAAAGCATGCCCACTTACCGGTCTTTTATACTTTCCCTTGGCGTTACTTTTAAGTATTCTATTTTTGGGTTCTCGAAACCTTCGATCCAGCCGCTAGTTTCGAAAGTTACTGATTTTTGATGCTAAAAAGGGTTTGGATAGTTAGGAGCACTTTGATGGTACACTATTCCAAATCCGCCTTAAATTTTGGGGACCAACGATCTCGGTTCCAAGCTTCCGGCTGCACAATTCCCGACAGACTGAACAGCGTTTCGGGCATTTTGAGATCTCGAACCGCCGGCGACTTGAGCCGGCGATCGGGCTTGGAATCGGCTCCCAGATCTGGCAATCGTGTCATCTGTCAGTAGCGTTATCTCTTCCATTAGTACTCTCTCTCAGTGCCTCTCTTCATGTCACAATCGCTCAAGATATTGTTTATAGGAAGTTTGAGATCTTTTCTGATAGAGAGTGATGTGGATAGTAAAGAGCTTTAATGGGAATAAGTATATAAGGAATGGTTTACTGACCTAAGAACTTAAC